AACCCTACACCATTTTGGACAAATGGCTATCCAGTCTCTTCTTAAAAACTTCCAGTGTTGGAGCATTCGCCACTTCTGGAGGCAGGTTGTTCCACTGGTTAATTGTTCTCACTGTCAGGAAGTTTCTCCTTAGTTCTAGGTTGCTTCTCTCCTGGATTAGTTTCCATCCATTGTTTCTTGTCCTGCCTTCAGGCCCCTTGGAAAATAGCTTGACTCCCTCTTCTTTGGGGCAGCCCCTGAGATATTGGAAGACTGCTATCATGTCCCCCCTCTTCATTAAATTAGACATACCCAATTGCAGCAGCCTTTCCTTATATGCTTTAGCCCCCAGTCCCCTGATCATCTCTGTTGCTCTTCTCTGCACTCTTTCTAAAGTCTCGACATCTTTTTTACATTGTGGTGATCAAAACTGGATGCCGTATTCCAAGTGTGGCCTTACCAAGGCCTTACAAAGTGGTATTAATACTTCACGTGATCTTGATTCTATCCCTCTGATGATGCAGCCCAGCACTGTGTTGGCCTTTTTGGCAGCTTCAGCACATGGCTGGCTCCTATTTAAGTGATTGTCCACTAGGACTCCAAGGTCCCTCTCACAGTTACTACTATTGAGCAAGGTAACCCCTATACTATACCTGTGCATTTTGTTTTTCTTGCCTAAATGTAGAACCTTGCTTTTTTCACCATTGAATTTCATTTTGTTAGATAGCGCCATTGTTCAAGTCTATCCAGATCCTCCTGTATCCTAAGCCTGTCTTCTGGAGTGTTGGCTATTCTCTGTGGACATTGCTCTTCTCTGTGGACATTCATTCCCTAATTTTCCAGGAGCTGAATTTTCCATTAGCCATCTGACCCCTCCCCCCCAAAAGCAGGACAAGCTGCAATGTTTTGAAAATAAGGGAATCCCAGTTTTCCCACCCATGCAAAAAGAAGGAACTGCTTTCTTCCATCCTCTAGTTCAGCAGAGTCGAACAGGCCTGAATGTAGTTTTCTGAAGTTCTCACCTGCTCAAACACCGTGATCACCACCAACTATGGTTTCTGCTGTCCTTCCCATGTTCAGATTTCCTTGGTAGATACCTGTTTTCTCTCTTGAACAATCAAAAGCTATTTGGATCTCTGTACCAAAGCAACGTTTGACTGTCTGGATTCGCCTAAAGCAGGGGTAGGCCACCTTGGCTCTTTTATGACTCGTGGACTTCAACTCCCAGAATTCCTGAGCCAGCTATGAAGTCCACGAGTCATAAAAGAGCCAAGGTGGCCTACCCCTGTCTAAAGTCAAGAATTCAATCAGCTTTTGAGAAGTTTGCATTTCTTCTAAAAACCCTAGCAACTCTGTTGGCTAAACAAGGAACGGGAATTGTATAAATGGGTAAAAAAAGGGACCTTGATCTGTTGGGTTCACATTACCAACAGCTTTTTGGAATAAGATCTCCAGTGAGCGTGTTTTGAGGATGACCCTGGAGAAACATAGGACTTGTCCTTTTGGAAAAGGTTTGTTTCTTGAACAAAGGTCACTGTAAATTAGGATCCATCCATCTCAGGGAAGCAACTAAATAAACAGATGTCCAAGAGAACAAATGATGTGAGCATTAAATTCAGCTATCTCCCTTCTGTTGGGATCTTGGAAACGAGTTTTAGCATAACGGGAATATTTGATCCAGAATGTCTGCTAAAAGGAAAGCCTGGCATTTTTAAAAAGAATCATTGAAATGGTATATTGGAGTTGAAGTGGAATCTTTGGTGCTCTCTGACGTTTCATTACCAAATTAAGTAATATCATCAGCGCTGGGAAGCAGTGGAGTGGAAGTTCTTTCTTTCTTTCTTTCTTTCTTTCTCTTCCTTCCTTCCTTCCTCCCTCTTTCTCTTTTCGTTTTCTTTCTTTCTTCCTTCCTTCTTTCCTTTCCTCTTTTTGTGCTTCGTTCCTTCGTTTCTTTCTTTCTTTCTTTTTCTCTTTCTTTTCCTTCCTTCCTTCCTTCCTCTTTCTTTCTTTCTTTCTTTCTTTCTTCCTTTCTTTCTTTTTCCTTCCTTCCTTCCTTCCTTCCTTCCTTTCTTTTTCTTTTCTTTCTCTCCTTCATCCTTCTTTCCTTTCCTTTTTTCCTTCCTTCCTCTTTCTTCTTTGTTTCTTTCTTTGTTTCTTTCTTTCTTTTTCTTTCTTTCTTTTCCTTCCTTCCTTCCTCTTTCTTTCTTTCTTTCTTTCTTTTTCTTTCTTTTTTTCTTTTTCCTTCCTTCCTTCCTTTCTCTTTTTCTTTTCTTTCTCTTTCTTTCATCCTTCTTTCCTTTCCTTTTTTCCTTCCTTCCTCTTTCTTCTTTCTTTTTCTTTCTTTCTTTTCCTTCCTTCCTTCCTTCCTTCCTTCCTCTTTCTTTCTTTCTTTCTTTCTTTCTTTCTTTCTTTCTTTCTTTTTCCTTCCTTCCTTCCTTTGAAGGAAGCAAAGGCAAAGCAAGACATCTAGGAAACAAATGAACTTGTCTCCTCCTTGGAGAACTTAACGAGGACTTGACTTATCTTCAGTAATGGGGCATCTGTATAAAATAAAGGAAATGTTTACACTGCCAGAATTTTAATTGTGTTATGTTTACATAGAACCCCAAACAATTACGAAATGTTAGAGCTGTTAGGGAACGTTGAGTAACCACAAGAGATAACAATATCTGCACACAGGCTCATCAGATCTACCAAAGCTATGATTCACAGTTTCCAGAAATGGGATAATAAAATAATAACATTGAAAAGAACAACTGAAGGGGGGGGAATGATTGGTGAATGCAAGGGAATGGCAGGAACTACTGTTATAGTCCCAAGGGTCTAACTTTGGCATTGAGCACAAATATTCTGTGACTGAAAAGTGGGGCAGCCAAAAATATTTCCCCCTGTGGGTGAAATTTCCAAGGAAGCGGAGGGTTCAGAGTCAGAAATAGGAGAAGAAAGGTTGCTAATTGCAGGAAGGAAAGCTGTGCCAGCAATTGGGGTAATGGAAGCAGCCATCTTTTGAAATGCACCATAGAGTTGGAATCCCCTTCAAAGAAATTCCATCCTGAACAGCAAACTCTGAAGGCTGGTTTTGTTTCAACTCTGACTTTGAAACTGATCAAAGCAAAGTATTTTTCAGTGTATTTTGCTCTGCCAATCACTAATAGGGTATCTTTAATCTTTCTTTCTTTCTTTCTTTCTTTCTTTCTTTCTTTCTTTCTTTCTTTCTTTCTTACTTACTTACTTACTTACTTACTTTTTCTTTCCTTCCTTCTATCTATCTATCTATCTATCTATCTATCTATCTATCTGTCATTTCTCATCTATTTATCATCTACCATTTATCTCTGTCATCTGTCATCTATCAATCTCTATTGATCTGTTTATCTATTATCTATCTATCTATCTATCTATCTATCTATCTATCTATCTATCTATCTCTATCTATATATCTATCTCTATCTATTTATATCTATCTATATCTATCTATTATCTATCTATCTATATCTATCTGTTATCTCTATATCTATCTATCTATCTATCTATCTATCTATATCTGTCATCTATCTGGCATTTATTATCTATATATACACACACACATACACACACACACACACACACGTATCAATGGTGTACTTAGGGGGTGTGCATAAAAATAAATCTATGAGAAAAAAAGTTGTCTGCAGAAATATATTGTGCTGGACTAAATTACCTTTTTATTCTTTTAGCTGACAAACCTGTCACCTCTGTCCATCGTCGTCCAATGAAACAAAGTCCAGGAATGCTGGTACAAGGTGGTTAGCAAGGTTTATTCCCAGCAAACGAAAAGTCAGCACTGGGGGTGGTTTGCTCCCAGTGCTTTACATAACCGTGCCCCGTCCTACAGCCCCATCCCCCAGCAGCAAACCAGCATCCGCCCAAACGCATAAAACCCCCAGGTCCATTTCCGTCCTTCCCTCGGCCCGGCTATGCCTTGCTGGCCCTCCGTCCAGCATCTAAAGTCCAGGGCCTTCCACCAGCTCACCAGGCTTTCTACGTCGTCCACGCCCTCGACTGTCCCCTCCGGTCTTCTGCAGGTCCACCAAGACATCAGCAGCCTCCTATCACTTCCTGGAGCCCTCCTTGTCTTCCAGGGAAACTTTTAGTGCCCATCGGATAATAAGTAGAATTAAAAATGAGGGGAGAGAAACGCATTGCAGTTAATGTAACCGTTGAGTAAATGCATGCATAGGATTATACTATCCATGTGTCAAGATATGTGTGAAAGCCTGAGAATACTCAGGATAATATAGGAGCAATAATACGATATATTTTGGAACGTACTTCAGGACGGATCCAAAGAATTTAAGTGCAATCAAGGACAGGCAGCATCGCTATCTTTCCTTTTTTAAAATATAGATTATCCTTCCAGTATATTTATTAATAGAGAGATAATTTCAGTCTACAGCATATACCTTGCCTGTTGACCATAGCGAAGAGCTGAAAAACAAAAGATTGTAAAATATAGAGTCCAGTTCACCGCTAGAGGACAGCAGAGAGATGCAAAATCTTACTCTAAGCCAGGGGTTCTCAACCTTGGCAACTTTAAGACTTGTGGACTTCAACTCCCAGAATTCATCAGCCAGTCGGCTGGAGAACTCTGGGAGTTGAAGTCCACAAATTTTCTTAAAGTTGCAAAGATTGGACAACCCTGCTCTAAACTTAGCTGACACCTGAATATAGTAGCCCAAGTTGAACCTTCCTTAAAATCCTTATTAAGCCGACTCAGAAAGCATAGCTGGGAAAAAAACAACTATTTTCTGACAATCAGAAATTCAAGGAGATGCATTTCAGACTTCAGGAGTGCTAGAAAAGAAATTTAGAAAATTGGACTTCCCTTTCAGTTTCCAAATGGATTGACCTGGTTATAATGAAGCTGCTGTTCTTGTTCTTGTTATATTAATACAATCAGCAAAGATCACGTGTTTTCGTTTTTCTGTTCTGGCCTTAACTAAGATTGTTTCTCTCTTTCTCTCTCTCTTTCTTGTTTTTAGGCTCGTCCAAAAGGAGAAGGCTTGACGCCATACCAAGGGAAAAAACGCTGCTTCGGTGAATATAAGTGCCCCAAATGCAAGAGAAAATGGATGAGCGGCAACTCGTGGGCCAACATGGGACAAGAATGCATCAAGTGCCATATTAACGTTTATCCTCACAAGCAGGTAGGGAGGGGGGTTCAAAAAGAGGGTAGAAATAGAACTTATCCTGGCTGAAGACCCCCCATGGATGATGGCTGGATACGATGGCCATCAAGCACAGCACAGCTATGGAGCTCCTCAACCTTTCTAGAATGAGTGGAGTGGAGTGGACTGGAGTAGAGTAGAGTAGAGTAGAGTAGAGTAGAACAGAATTGGAGTAAAATAGAAGTATAAAGTAGAAGAGGAGTAGAACAGAAGAATAGAATAAGAATAGGATAGGATAGGATAGGATAGGATAGGATAGGATAGAAGAACAGAATTAGGAATGGAACGGAACGGAATGGAACAGAACAGAACAGAACAGAATAGAATAGTGATGATAATAATAGAACAGAATAGATATTGGAATATAGAATAGAATAGAACAGAACAGAATTAGGAATGGAACGGAATGGAACAGAACAGAAAAAGAATAGAATAGAATAGAATAGAGTGATGATAATAATAGAATAGAATAGATATTGGAATATAGAATAGAATAGAACAGAACAGAATTAGGAATGGAACAGAACGGAACAGAACAGTATAGAATACAGAGTTGGACAGGACCTTGGAGGTCTTCTAGTCCAACCCCCTGCTCAGGCAGAAGACCCTATACCATAGCTCCAGGTTGCTTCTCTCCTTGATGAGTTTCCATCCGTTGCTTCTTGTCCTGCCTTCAGGCGCTTTGGAGGATAGCTTGACTCCCTCTTCTTTGGGGCAGCCCCTGAGATATTGGAAGACTGCTCTCATGTCCCCCCTCGTCCTTCTCTTCATTAAACTGGACATACCCAATTCCAGCAACCGTTCTTTATATGCTTTAGCCTCCAGTCATGAAACTTCAGTAAGTGCTAAAAACTTAAGTGTAACAATTCAAGTGAAACAAGGCATAATACTATGAACTGCATCAATAACTGAAATTTAGCACCCCATAGTTAAGCCAAAAGTTATAGTTTATTTAGTGTGTTTTTGGGAGATGTGAATTTCCCATCGGATTTTTTTTTTTTTTTCATCCTACTGCAAACCCTTTGAAAGAGCTGCTTTAGAATAGACAAAATTATCTGTCTGAAGCTTCTTTATTGTTTAATCACTAAAGTCCTGTGTGTGTGTGTGTGTGTGTGTGTGTGTGTGTGTGTGTGCGCGCACGCGCGCGCACACGTGTGTGCTTCCTTTGTTGGAATACACAAAGGGGAAAGGAAATCCTTCTTTATGGAAGGATAATCTCTTGCAGGTTCTCTAATAGGCCTTGGAGGGAAGATTTCTGGCGGAAGATAGAAAGGCTGGAATGCAAGCAATTCCACTTTCCTAGAGAGCAATTCAGTTCAAGCAAGGAATCCTACACTGCCCAGGGTTTAAGGGACTCAATCTGATTGAAGGCACACAGCAAAACTCTTTCCGGTTAGGGGGGATGCTTCGCTCATGCAGTTCACTGAATTCAAAGTACGTAGGTCAACAGGAAAAGGGTCCCTTGCAAAGGAGATTCGGGCTCTCTGACCGATATCTCAGAAGGCTGAGCCAGAAGCCCTGCTGGATCTCTGACTCCTTGTTGAAACACATTACAGAACTAGGGAGGAGGAGGAGGAGGAGGAGGAGGAGGAGGAGGAGGAGGAGGAGGAGGAGGAGGAGGAGGAGGAGGAGGAAAGAAGAGGAGGAGGAGAAAAAGAAGAAAAGGACAGGAGGAGGAGGAGAAGGAGGAGGAGGAGAAAGAAGAGGAAGAAAGAAGAAAGAAGAGGAGGAGGAGGAGGAGGAGGAAAGAAGAGGAGGAGGAGAAAAAGAAGAAAAGGACAGGAGGAGGAGGAGGAGGAGAAGGAAGAGGAAGAAAGAAGAAAGAAGGAGGAGGAGGAGGAGGAGGAGGAGGAGGAGGAGGAGGAGGAGGAGGAAGAGGAAGAAAGAAGAAAGAAGAGGAGGAGAAGGAGGAGGAGGAGGAGGAGGAGGAGGAGGAGGAAAGAAGAAAGAAGGAGGAGGAGGAGGAGGAGGAGGAGGAGGAGGAGGAGGAGGAAGAGGAAGAAAGAAGAAAGAAGAGGAGGAGAAGGAGGAGGAGGAGGAGGAGGAGGAGGAGGAAAGAAGAGGAGGAGGAGAAAAAGAAGAAAAGGACAGGAGAAGGAGGAGGAGGAGAAAGAAGAGGAAGAAAGAAGAAAGAAGAGGAGGAGAAGGAGAAGGAGGAGGAGGAGGAGGAGAAGAAGAAGAAGAAGAAGAAGAAGAAGAAGAAGAAGAAGAAGAAGAAGAAGAAGAAGAAGAAGAAGAAGAAGAAGAAGAAGAAGAAGTGTCTCTAGGTTATTGGGGTGCAGGAAAAACAAGCCATGTTAAGCCCAACTTTCAGACTAAGGATTTTGAGAAAGAAAAGAAAAAAAAAAAGATTGAGGACTACCTGAGATGCAGGGATGAACGTTTTAGTAAAGATACCAGATCTGAAATGCAGCAGATCATTGGAACTCCAGAGGACAGGAAATCTGACCTGGGTTTCTGTATCTCATCTGCTTACATAATAAGAACTTGGTGACTCTTGATTTTCATTTTGTCTGCTTTTTATATGATTTATTCAAGATGGATAGTTGTTTATTGTACCACGAGAACCACAAGTGAAATACGGATGTTTACTTCAGTTTCTTTGGATGAATTTAGGGTTGATTTAAAAAAAGAAGAAAAGAAAAGAGGTGGTAAAAACATATAAATATTCCAGATAAATGATCGCCTAAGCTGTAAATTAAACATATTGGAAGGACAGTGTAAACACTGTAAATATCAGTGTTTTGCAAAAACACATATTTATGGAGCCATTGAAAATAATTGGAGGAAGCAGTTTTATGGGAACTGTCAAACTGTGCTTATCTAGCTCATTCACTCATTCAACTCAAGTATGTGTAAGTTTAATTTCATTAGTTTTATCCAGAAATCACTTCAAGTGTGTCAGCGATTCCAAAAATTGAATTAATGTCCACGAAAATCACTGTGTAAAACTGGATTCCACTAAAAGCCTTCAATTTTGGAGGAAAAGAGAAGAAGAGCTAGAATTTTATTCTGAAATGTTCATTGCCCCAATTTAATTGACAGTATTATTTATGAGAGACGAAATAATAAGGTGAACGTGATTTATTCATACTCTCCATGTAACCTTGTTTAATGCAGATTAAACCCTAGCCTGCATTAGCCTTAGGACATATCCCTGAAGCTGAAGAAATTTAATTAAGTCTAATGAGGCCTATCCCTTCAAATGGGACAACGATGAATAAATTCCAATAAAATATTGTGCTCTTACCTGCAAATCATACTGATTTCTGCGGGTGATATGTGACCCTGGGATTATGCAACTGTCTTAAGTACATGCCAGTTGCTAAGCCTCTGAATTTCGGTCACAGGGATGCTGCAACAGTCGTAAAGGTGGAAAAACCTGTGATAAGTCACTTTTTTCAGTGCTGTTGTAACTTCAAACGGTCACTAAACTAACTGTTGTAAGCTGAGGACGACGTGTAGTTTAGGACAATTGACAATCCTGGCTAAAATATAAGGTACAAGCAAATGGTAACATTATTAACAAAATTGAGTTAGATTCTCTGTTTTCATTTGTCCTCCTGGTTGATTGACTTACTACTTTTGACTTACACCTTTCCTATGTTTTCTGCAAGGTTGCAAAAGGAGTAGCACAGTATCTGTTTGGTCAAGCATCAGATGCTGCAAAACAACAAAGAGAGAGAGATGACTAAATTTGTAATAGGGATGTTGACTCTGGATGTGAAGGGTGATCTGGCTTTAACATCTGTCACTCCATTAGTTTCCAGAGTAGGTTTAGCTGATCTGGCTGGCTAGTCGGGTGTCCCCTTCCTCCTTCACTACTCCATGTGTATCTTTTCCATTCGGTGTGAAAAGGACAACCATCCCAGATGAGAGTGTTTGGTGAAGGGTGGGTGATGGCTGTGCTCTCCTGCTAGAACAGAGGTCTCCAACCTTTGGGGCACCAGGGACTGGTTCCGTGGAGAGAGGTTTTTCCGCAGACCAGAGGGTGTGTGGTTTTGTGTGTTGCCTGCATCCCGCAGATGGGGCTTTGTGTGGACCGGTTGCTGGCATGCTGTGGCCTGGTATCGGTCCATGGACCAGGAGTTGGGGACCCCTGTGCTAGAGCCTCCGAAGAAGCTCAAGAGGTTGACCTCAAGTGATCTATTCATGGTTTGATAATGAACACCAATCAGACAAACCTAGTGATGATTAATTGAATGGGCAACCCTCTTGTGAAGGTTGGGTGGGCATTTCCTGAGCTGCTTCTTGAAAAAGACCCTTGTGTCTGTCTGGATTCAGATGTACAGCAGCAAAACCTGGGACTTGCTCACCCCAAAGGTGCTTTTTTTTTTTCAGGAGGCAACTGGAACTTCCTTGTTTTTCTTTGAAGACGTTTCGCTTCTCATCCAAGAAACTCCTTCAGCTCTGACAGAATGGTGGAGGATGGAAGGATTTATACTCCTTGCAGACAGCTGGTCATTTGCCTCCTTTCAGTGCAGACATGTCAAATACAAGGCCCGGGGGCCAGATGCGGCCCGTGAAGTGGTTTCATGTGGTCCGCGAAGCCATCCTGGAAACTGTGAGGGTACAGCCCCCGCTGCCCTGGCCCAGGCCGGTCGGGAGCCAATGTTGTGGTGGCCCTCTATGCTGAAACACATTCAGTCTTAGCTCCACAAGGCCAACTGGAAACAGTGAGGAACCAGCCCCTGCTATGTCGGCCCCGCCCCCTGGGTGCATGCTGGGGAGGTGTCACCCTTTGTGAGGAATGAAGGAATGGACCATGCTTTGGTGCTTGCCCCGGTCCCACCCCCTTCTGCCAGAGACCCTCAGATCTGTCCCACTCCTGCCCAGGCCCCCACAGGCACCCTTGACGCGAACGATGTAGAGCTGGCCATGCCCACTCAGTAGGCCACACCCACTCCATCCACACCCACCCAGTAGGCTGCACCCACCCTGGCCACACCCACCCGGCCTCCCAAGGGCAACCACAATGCTGATGTGGCCCTCAATGAAATTGAGTTTGACACCCCTGTTTTAAAGAGTCCTTGAGGCCACTTGGAGGTTTGCCTGTGTCCTCAGGGTCAGCTGTGTAGTGCAAACGGGTGTGGAGCCTTCTTGGAACTGTTGAAAGCAAAACGTCTTCAAAGAAAAAACTAGAATGTCCAGTTGCCTCTTGAAAAAGCACTTTTGGGACAACCAGGACCTGGAGGTCGGAGAATCACCGTAGACACTGGGGCTGGTTCACGTTTGACGACTAGGTGTAATCTCTGTGCTTGCCTCCTCCATGCAGAGACCCCTGGAAAAACCCGATGGGCTAGATGTCTCAGATCAAAGCAAAGAACACCCTCAGCATCTCTGTGAGAAATGTAAAGTCCTGGGCTACTACTGCCGCCGGGTGCAATAAAGGAACCCATGGAGACTGCAATAAAGGAACCCATGGAAGAAACCCTGTGGCAGCACTCAACAGCCAAAAGGGAAGGAAGAGGACCCATCATCTAAGAACCTTCATCCATCACCAATATTGCCTAACCTAATCATATGCCTTTCCTTCAACTGAATGTAACACTTCCCCTGTGCGCCTACGGACGTACAAGTTGTATCTCTAGGTCTATGTGGTGTTATGTGTATTCCTTCCTTAAGGGTCTTGCAAAACAAGCCATGTTAATATGGGTGGAGACCAACTGGCCACTGGCTCTTACTGGACTATGCCCGCCATACTCACGGTGGACACCCACCACTACGGTGGTTTTCCACTGATCGTTTACAGAATTCCAGTATTTTACTCCAAGTGAACTAGTATTGTTGGTTCCAGAGAGATCTGTAAGGTCAGGAACATAGGCTTGGATGAATTAAGGAGTTGGGGTGGGGTGGGAACAGGCAGGCATGACTCAAAATGCATTTTATGGGGCGGTATATAAATCTAAATGCTATTGATCAGTGCTCTTTTAGCTAATGCTGCCAGCTAGAATTCTTTAAAAGCTAAGATCTTAAGAGGTATTACAAGGATGTGATGTAAACATTCAGTTTTCTTGGCGGTGGAGATAGCTTGGAAGTTCTACCAGCTCGCTTGCTTTCCAAGATGGAATCCTCTAAAGCTATAGGATTCCTGAGCTAAGGGAAGAATGAAGGATGTGGTGCAAATATTCATTTTTCTTGACGAGGGACGTGGTTTGGACGTTCTGCCAGCTTGCTTGCTTTCCAAGACTTTTGGTGAGCTTCAGGTTTTCCTTTTGGTTTTTTTAATCTGAGGGCTTCAATGAACAAGTGAATAATTGTCTGACGAGCGGTTTTTATGGGAACGTGACGATGGTAGAACACGTAGAGTGGAATAAGACTTTGTCTTTCTTGTGTAGCACGTTTATGACAATGGAGGTTCCACTAAAATCCAGAAGGCCTATTTCAGAACAAGCTTGCATAAATGCACTCCTTTTTACAGGCTGCTGTTGTTTACCCTGACTTCCCATGGCATCTGTTACCTTAACCTTTTTCTTTCGCTCCCAATGATGGCTAAATTTTCTATCCTCAGGCTGCAAAACCAACGTATGTAGCCTACAAGAGAAGCATCACTTTACCCTCAACAGACCAAGAGTATCCAAATTCAGTTCCCCCTCTCCACTTGGGTCTGTTTCTCTACCATCCTTGTCCCCCAAATAATAATTTTTGGTGGAGTTTGGCTTGTTCCTCCATCAACAATTAGTGATGGAGCCAGCCAAGGCAAGTCTTCAAACATGGCCCTTTTATGACTTGTGGACTTCAACTCCCAGAATTCCTCAGCCAGGCCTGCTGGCTGAAGAATTCTGGGAGTTGAAGTCCACAAGTCATAAAAGGGCCAACTTTGAAGACCCCTGAGCCAAGGTTTCATATCTCTCTCCTCCTCTCCATTTCTCTCTCTCTCACAACAGACACACGTGGGCATCTGCAGAGGAAAGATTTTCAAACGTCGAAGTGGCACATTTTGACAATCAAAGCCTAACTGTTTCTGACACCCCAGGGGCTAGGCAAGTTTTGATTGCATGTGTGTGGGTAACTTTTTTGATCAACCTTCGGGTACTTTCATACCTACACCATTACAGAGAGGAAGAGAGCAGGAAGAAATGTGACAGCCATCCATTCAATATCTCTGGAGTGGAGTTCTGAAGGTCTTAAATCAAATCCTCTGTCCTTTGTTTTTGAACTGTCTTGAGCCACATGAGGTTCTAAAAACATGGTAAGAGAGAAGGCAAGAACAGCTAAGGAGCTGTCCCATGTAGAGTAGAGTAGAGTAGAGTAGAGTAGAGTAGAGTAGAGTAGAGTAGAGTAGAATAGAATAGAATAGAATAGAGTAGAATAGAATAGAATAGAATAGAATAGAATAGAATAGAATAGAATAGAATAGAATAGAATAGAAGCTGGAAGGGACCTTGGAGGTCTTCTAGTCCAGCCCCCTGCTCAAGCAGGAGAACCTATATCATCTCAAGACAGGTGATTGTCCAGTCTCTTCTTAAAAATTTCCAGTGATGGAGCGCCCACAATTTCAAAGTTGGAAGGCACCTTGGAGGTCTTCTAGTCTAATCCTGTTGCTCATGCAGGAGACCCTATATTATTCCGGACAAATGGCTGTCCAATCTCTCTTAAAAACTTCCAGTGATGGAGCACCTACAATTTCTGATGGCAACCCATTCCACTGACTAATTGTTCTCATTGTCAGGAAATGTCTCCTTAATTCTAGGTTAGATCTCTCTTTAATCAGTTTCCATTTATTAATTCCTGTCTTGTCCTCAGCTCTTTGTTGTCCCCTTCTTTCTTTATCTACAGATTGCAATTTATTTCAGTTTTGCCTGTTGCCATTACTTTTAGAACAATCTCTAATAGAAATGTGTCTAGGATCAAGATTTAACCTTGAGTTTAGAACACCAGGAATTTATTGTAGGAGTCTCTTTACATACTTCTGTTGACTAAATGGGTAATCTCCATGGGATCACACCAAATCCAATGGAGGTGACCAATTGGTACATTCAGAAGATGGTCTATTACGATGATTAAGACTTTTCCTTGGTGGCCTCTCAATAATTTCAATTAGCCCCAAGTTTAGAACACCAGAAAAAAAGATAATACTGACACTTACTGACACTCAATGTGATATGCCATACGATAGATCAAAATTTCATTTTTCCAAGATAAGCTGCATTGTAGCACAATAGAAGGGCAAGCAATAGACCTCTGAAAATGATTCCCAGGGACGTGTGAAAGTTAAACTAATGGTAAGAAAGTTATTAAATGCACAACTGGGAAAACTATTCTTTTTAACCGTCTTTAATTCTTAGTAAATCAGATTTGGTTTTTGGTTTACCTACTCCTTTTTTTAAAAAAAAAAAAAACATTCTTGGTTGCCATTCAACGTCTAGCTTTGGTTCCATGCCTATCTTAGAAGGAAGCACCTCAACCATGGTTCTTCCTATGTGCCCACAGTAAAAAAAAAATGACAATAAAGGTTATCTTATCTTTCATCAATCCAGGTGGATTTGCTAATCAAAATTCTTCAGCAGGATTAGAAAGGATAGCAATAAACGTCCTGCGAATGTTGGGAGAATTCGTCCCAGACGTTGTGACGGAAAAAATATATCCGTTTTATTTATGAATTTTAGATGTCATGACATCTTCAGAAAGTGTCTGTTCTGTCTAAATGCACTCATTTTCAGTAAACTGATAACTGCTCTGTCTAGATAAGTAAGGATTTCTATGAGTGCATAAAGACATTGTCCTTATGTAGGCCTTCTCTATACTTCAAACACACTTAAGCAATTCTGTTAAGCAGGAGAATTTTGAACCTTTACAACAAAGCAGATCTATGACTGGGGCTGTCCTGAATAATAGTTGAACTTCTTTTTAAAAAATTACCCTCATTTAAAATGCTGCTAAAAGCAGAGGTTTGAGTTGTTCTAGATATCCCCTATTCCTATGATAAACTAGTGTCAGGCAGTTAAGATTTATTGCTCAAGCTTATAGACAAGAATCTAGTCAACTAACATTCAGCACTAAATTAGCACTAGATAAGTCAATGAGATTCAAGAGGGATTGGACTTAGACCAGGGGTCCCCAACCCATGGACCAGTACTGGGACGCAGCATGCCAGCAACTGGGACACACAAACAAGCAAAGCCCCATCCGTGGGATGCAGGCAGCACACAAAACCACACTCCCTCCGGTCAGTGGAAAAACCTCTCCACGGAACTGGTCCCTGGTGCCCAAAAGGTCAGGGATCTCTGACTTACACCATTTGTGGAAGCATAACTCTGCCCACTGGCTCTGCCTGTTTTTCTACAACTCGAGGTGGATTAGGAATTCAGATCAGGACCATCTTGGGAAGTGGAGTTATTTTGTACTAAATTATCTCACACCATTGTCAGGTCATTAGGAAGAGTGACACCATGCTCTTTACTGCAGATTACAAGCGAGGAGAGGTTCTTTGCAGCTGGAAGAGTTTCAAGATACTAGTAGGAGTCTTAAGACCTTAGCGAGCTGGATCTACCTTATTTTGCCAAATCACAAGAGTTAAGCAATATAAGAATTACAGAGTAAGGATATACAAGGCAGGGAGATATTTAACTGATCTAGCTACTCCTGTCTAGCTATTCTTGGTCTCTTTCCTATCAATCCCAAGTCAATCAAAACCTTTCTGCTAAAGAACTCAAGCAGCAGTGTCCAAAAGTTATCTATTCCAGCTATTTCTACGTACTCTCCAGAGACCACAGCTTCCCTACAAGCCAGCTTTACGCCAATGGCTTGGTAGATGGGACTTGTTGGAGATGGTGGTCCAGCACATATTTGGGGGGAAAAAAAATCATTCTTGGCAAAACACCAAGAATTATTTTCCAGATGTACGTGGAACAGATACAGCTTACAATTTCTTGCGAGCAACTTTTTTTTCTTTTTGGAATTGGTGGGAAATTCCTGTTTCTCCATACAAATAAGTCAGTTGCAGCATCTAGCAAGGGAGTGACCTTCCTAATTTAGAAAAGTTGCTAAATCTGTTTGGGCTTCCATGAAAACAACGCAACTAAGGTGTCTCTCTTCACGGGGGTATTAGGAACCTAAAGTAATCCAAAGTATTTTAACTTCAAGTCAGCGTTCTTGATAACAGTTGGATAAAATCCATTAGCAATTTGGCCATCATTTGTATTGGATTCGACAGTTGTATGTAAACTACTACTTTAAATTCCATTATTGTCAGTGGATTTATTCTAAAAAGTGAGTAAGCGTAGATGAATCCACTGTAATTCTCCAAAAGTCAGCGATTAGGCCATTTCTGTATCAGTTCTTGTTTACAAAGCAACTCTTCTAAATTTACAAAGCTGAAAGTTTGCCTCTGCATTGTTTACATGATTAAAGACTCAATTGGTGTCCAGAAAAAGAATGCAAAGATTAATGGTATTATAACGTATTTTTAAGAAAAGAGAGAAATCAGAGAATCTCTGGGTAATTAAGACTCCGGAAGTCACGTTACCCTTTCTAGCATTGTGCCGTTATCCAGAGCAGGAAGAACTGAGTGGTGGATTTTGAAGACTTGAACTTCAGCGTTAGAAGTTTTTATTTTTAAGTAGGAGTAAGAATTGAATAAGAGGAGCAATACCTTACAATATAAGTAGCCTTATATTAAACCAGCTGCAGGTTTTGTTGTTGTTATTGTAGTTGTGTGAGCACTTATAAAATATTAACCAAAATCTTTCTAGTTATTGGTCATATCTGCCTACAGCAGTGTTTCTCAACCTTGACAATTTTAAGGCATGTGGACTTCAACTCCCAGAATTCCACAGCCAGCATTGCTGGCTGTGGAATTCTGGGAGTTGAAGTCCAGATGCCTTAAAATTGTCAAGGTTGAGAAACACTGGCCTACAGAAAATTCCTCAAAGGTATACTAGAAGAACGAAATGTAGATATGATTCCCCCCCCCAACTGATGTTAAAAATGAAGGCCAGTTCAGCACAATTCATGTTAAATAGCACGTGGTTGTTTTTAATTGCAGAAATATCTGGTTAGTACACAAAGGGAGCTGTGTGCAGGACTAATAGGGCTAAAGAAAGACTTCCTAATTTTGATTTCCGCCTGGGGTTTCTTCCTGGAGGCCCCCAATGTTCAGAAATGACATCCAAATGACATTAAAATATACGGCACCCATTACTTTTCCCGGGGATTCTCATTAACAGCCAAACCTTTTCACCCTGATTCCAATTAACGTATGACAGCTAAAAAGAGACTCCATGTGATGTGTCAGTCTTCAAAGGAGCAGGGAGCTTTTCACAACAGCTTGACTAAAGCACAATCTTGATAGGATAACAAGAGTTGGAAGGGACCTTGAAGGTCTTCCAGTCCAACCCCCTGCTCAGGCAGGACGTATTACCACTGCGGGATCCGTGTGATGCAAAGTGCAGCCCAAGCTGTTTCATGTAAGGTTTAATACATGATGCTAAAAGATCTCTTCTGGATAGGATTCTGCGATTTGATTAAGATCAGCGGCAGACAGGACAAAACTCAGAATATGGGGTTGGTGTGCACGAGACTCCAGAAAAACTTTAAATTATAGACAGCTGAGAAAAGAACTCTGAAATGTCATTCGCAGCAAGGATGAACAGCAATCCAGAACTTGATGGAACCATTGTGTAGTAAGGTATTGTTCTGCGTATCTGTTGAGATCGCTTTGTCTCCAAATGGGTTGATTTTAAACCGGATTGTCAAAATTTTCATTCAGGTTATTGCAAATGACCCACAAGGAAAAGGGGGGGGGGTATCTGAGATGAGGAAAGTGATGTCCTGCATGTCTTATATTGTATTCCTCTTACCAGCCTTGTTGCATTGCAATTCAACAGAGTGTAGATTCCAATTGGGTCTACTAAGAAGTGTTCAAGCCACGTCATCTTTTAAGGCCTGATTTTATAATCTAGCTCAAATTTAGCCCAAATTTCAGTGCTCTTTCCTTTCATGTCTGCAAAAACCACTGCCTTAGAAATATTTCTGTCTGATTGTAGCACTGATTGAGCCTGACCAATATGGTAACTAAAAAAAAAAGATAAAAATAAAAAAAATGAAGGCTTGTGTTTTCTTAGGATAAGTGTCAAAGGGACAATCGTGTGCAGTTAATAAATATAGTTAATGGATATTAATGTTTACTCTCCCTGTTATGAAATATTTTACAGTTTTACTTGCAGGGAGTGTATTTATCTTGAGTTATACTTGACATAGCGTTCCTTTCCATTTTTTTTTAATACTGCGTGTGTGTGTGTGTGTGTGTGTATTTTGGAGAACTTTTTAGATGTTTAAATTTTTTTTTGAATGGTTACAAATATTTCTTTGTAACACTGAATTGTTATGGGAAAACTCTGTGCAGTATAACCA